TTGGCCCCCAAACCCTTTCCTTTTGACTTCAAAGCCTTTCCCCTCCACCCCAAAAGCCTTTTCCCTCCCCCAAACCCTTCCCCCCCCGACCTCAAAGCCCTGTCCCCTCCAACCCCCACAGCCCTGGGGCCGGGCGTTTCCCCTGTCCCAAGTCTAAGGGGGTTTTCCATTTGTTTTTGGGGGGGGCCCGAGTGTATCTCCAAAGACCCCCCCCCGGACTCTCCTGCTGTACGGCTCAAGTACGGCTCATGCTCCCGCCGCCGCCCCTTCTCTGGGTCCTCCCTGCCCACTTTCTCGGGGACACCCCCGGCAGATGCTACCTGACATTCAGGAAGGATGCGCCACTGGGCGAGGCTGCTCGGGCTCCCTCTGGCTCCGGCTCCCGGGCCAGGCTGCCGGCTCCTCCTGAAGGCACCCCCTTCTGAGGCGGGGGACCCGCACCTCTCGCCTCCTGTCCCGTGACTGACTCAGGGCGACGTGTAATCAGGGGGGACTGGAAGCCGTCGCTGTGCCCAGGGCCCCGTCGTGGGAACAGGCAGGTTCGTGGACCCACAGCACCTGATGGGGCCACGCGTGTGAACCCGTGTCCCCAAGGCCCTCGGGCAGCGGCCGCCTCCCTGCAGGGGCGGGGGGGGGTTGCGTCTGCGGGGGGTGCGTGTCTGCCCAGAAGCCGCCTGTGAAAAGCACTTCAGAGCTGAGCGTAGGTGAGCGGCTGCCGGGCCGGCGGAGCGGGGCGTGGAGTGGGGGTGGCTGTGGGCTCCTGCTCCACGTGTGACCCATGATGGTGACACGGGCGCCCCGGCCGGTGGCAGGCACAGCCTGAGCGGAGCTGCGGGTTGGTGGGGGGTCGGCGGGCGAGGCTGGGGCCCCGCGGGCGCTCCGCAGGGCAGAGTGCGGTCGTCACGCGTGTGCGGGAGGCATGTGCTCTGCGTGTGTGCACGCTGGTCCGGGCACATGGAGGGAGCCGTCCTGCCGTAAAGGCGCCGAGCGCAGGCACCGTGCCAGCCCCGGGGGCAGGGAGGGACGCCGCTGCCGCTGCTGAGTGTGGGGGTGGCAGGGAGCGGACCTGTCCTGGCGCAGGGGGAGGGGGGTAGTTGGGGGGGTGGCTGCATCCTGCAGAGCGGGACCCGGGGCCGCCTGGCGACCACCGTGCTGAGCGGGTGTCACTACCTGTTACTTTACCGAAGTTACCACCTGCCTCCGTGCTCCTCCAGCAGACACAGTGTTAGAGGGGGTGCTGGTCTGGAGTCTTCACTCCGATTGTTAGAAAACCCCCCGGAGGCATTTCCACGAGGGGTGGGCACCGAGGGGCGGACACTGGCAGGAGCTCGTCACCTGTCACATTCTCGGCTGCACTGCTTCCCAGGACCTGCAGAGCTGGGTGGACGGCGCCAGCGAGCACGGCTTCGTCCTCGTGTCCTTCGGCGCCGGCGTGAAGTTCCTGTCGGAGGACATGGCCCACAAGCTGGCCGGGGCGCTGGGGGCGGCTGCCACAGAAGGTGATCTGGAGGTACGGCCCGGCCCGCACCCCGTTTCTCCCGCTCCGCTCGCCACAGGCCGGGGACGGGCGCGGAGGCCCCGGCAGGCCCGGCGCCGGGGAGGTGCAGGCGCAGGGCGGGGACTTGTTCAGGAGAGGTGGGGGTGCGGGCCGGCCCCCCCTCGTCCACTTGACCCTCACTTGTCATGTCTCTGTGCCTCACATCAGGGCGGGAAGGGGGACGGGTGGGGTGGGTGATAAGTGGGTAGAACATCCCACAGGCCTCTGGGTCCCACCTGAGGCCCGGCCCTTAGAGCACAGCAGCGTCCAGTGGCCAGTGGCCGTGATGCTGGGACGAGGCCCAGAGGCGGCCCCGCCCTGTGGTGCTGCCCTGCACCTGCCCTGCAGCCGACCCCATGGAGGTGTTTGCTGGGCTGTCCTCTGCCTCCTCCCTCCTCCCTCCCCCTCCCCTCGGGCCCTGGGGGCCCAACAGTGAACTGGCCCACTGGCAGCTGGCTCTGAGGGGTGCAGCGTGCCCTCTGACAGCTCCTGGCTGACAGGAAGTGGCTGGGTTGACCCCTCAGACCCGTCCTGTGGGGTTTCCTGTTAGGCTCCTGGGAAAGTGGCCCCTGCCTGGTTTAGGACACCTCAGGTCCATAAACCTTTAAGGTTCTCCATTCAGAGACCGAGGCAGGGCCAGCCAATATGGCCTCCCCCCAACCCTGTCCCGGGCGGAGCTGGGGGACAGCACATCCTTGCCTCCCAGCCCATGTCCAGCACGGAGCTGGCGGTCACCCCCCTGGCCCTCCAGGTCCCCCGGGTTTACCTCTGGGTCCTCGGGTTGGTTCCCAGCACAGGTTCGTTGGGGCTCTTCCTGCCTCGCGTACAGGTGAGAGGGGGGGGCACGGGCCTCAGGGTGAGCCGGTGTCTCCCGCGAATCAAGGAAACGTGGAAAGGAAACTGAGCAAGTGCTGCTCTGGTGAAAGGCGGCTCCTTGCCCAGTGTCCACAGCAGCCGTGGCAGCTCTGTGGTCACCTGACGCTGCAGCTGGAGTCCGTGCGAGGGAGCTGGTGTCTGAGGGGCCTGTCTGCACCCGCAGGTTTTCTGGAACCAAACCCAGGAACCTGGGCAACAACACGAAGCTCCTGGAGTGGCTGCCGCAGAACGACCTGCTGGGTGAGTAGCGGCTCAGACGCTCTGCGCTCACCTGACATTGACCAGGCTCAGAGGCTCATGTGACCTTGACCAGGCTCAGAGGCTCATGTGACCTTGACCAGGCTCAGAGGCTCATGTGACCTTGACCAGGCTCAGAGGCTCATGTGACCTTGACCAGGCTCAGAGGCTCATGTGACCTTGACCAGGCTCGGATGCTGCTGTGCACACATGACCCTGACCCAGGACCAG